CCCATAAACCCCTATAACCTCCGTTTCCTCGGGACAAAATTCTGCGACTAGGTGCGAGGTGCACTACTTAAAAGACTGTTGCGTACGGGACAAATACGACCCATTTAGGTTCAAAACGTAAAAAGCTACCTTTCAATTGCTTATTGTTGAAAGCTTGGTTTTCGTAAAGCGCGTTCAGTGTGGATAAATGGATAGATGGAGTGTTTAGAACGTTTGACTTTGGAGGTTAGGGAACCGTTATAATAAACGAGATAGTGATTGACAGTACTCGGGTTTTCACTTAATATGCACTCCTCATTTAAGAAATCATTACTTTGCGCATAAAACTTTGAACTGCCCTTATTCCACTTCAGAAAGTTGTAATGTTGACGCCTGAATTACTTCATTTTTTAAAGCGCTGTTACATGTGTGTTCATAAACATTTGAAAGTGTAAAATTATGCCACTAATAGCACTTAGACCAAAAACATATTGCTAGAAAATGCATTGATATACATATCCTATTTCGTCCGTAATCTGCATGTCTGCTATGTGTTTTAGGCAACTTTTATCGCTTTGACTTGCAACTACTATCGGGGGTAACACGCCCTTCGAAATTTTTCGAAATTTGCACAAACAACCACTGTCAAGATGCTGACGAACTAGTCTTGTAACACACCTCGCTTTGAGTACCCCTTGATGCAAATCGACTTAAATTACTTTTTTAGTCCAAATTGGAGTCACTGACGCGTGAACTGAGTAAGCGTACGGCCGTTTCAACGCAGTCGCTTGCAACACATCGCGTCAAAAGCGGCAGCTCTTCCGCGACCGATCAAGAATTAGCTGATTCGCCAATTGGTCTTCGATCTCCAACCATTGTTTCACATGGTTCCGGCAATGAACTGAACTCCAAACATTCCACTAGCACATGGTCTAAAAGGTTAGTCCTTCTAAAATGCATCAAATGCAGCTGCATGACATGTCTCAGCATCAGTTTACTTGAAGGAGATGTAGGTGGGTTGCCTTTGAGTTCCCTATTTGTACATGTGTGTTGTGGTAGCAGAAAAAGAGTATCTCAGTTTGTTGGCGAGATCAATTGACATGAGCCAATGAGGTGGAACATAGTTAAAAAAGAGAGAAGGCAGTGAAACAAACTCCTTCGGATTCTTAGAAGAAAAACATGTTGATCTTGGGGGAAGAATCTAACAACCTAATGAAAGTGCAGTCATTTTGATGGAGTACACAAAGAAAATCCCCATTTCAAACTAAGATGCAGTGCAATGTACACTCTCTGCGTCAGTGCATTTTCTTTGTATGTAAGCGCGTAAAGAGGTGCTTCTAACTTGAAATAAACGAGAAGCAAAAATTCTAATAACATAAAACATTACGAGACAGGGCGTTCACCGGGAGAGGTATATTTGTGGTCTGATGTTTCAAATAGTTATCTCGACTATCCATCTTCAGAGGATGAAACCTCTGTCTCCTGGCTCTCGATATATGCCACTCCTTTCGTCCGCGGGCGTA